AATTGTGGCCCTACTATTGTCTATGACAAGACTCCCATGGACTTCAAAGGGGCCAGAAATTATTCATTATCTTTATTATTTTTTCCTTAATCCCCAATATGAGACACACTTTTGCTTCTATTTCAAATATTTGATCATACAATAGATTTGATTGCACAGGAATGGCAGTATAAGTTATAGACCCTCACATGGGTGGATCCTGGGGGGTTGCAAGAGTGCACTTGTACCCCCCTTTGATTCCTGATCCACCCAAAGTTTCAAACCAACTGCATGGCAGTGGCAGAAGCATTTCTAGTCAGGCAGTGCTGAGGAAGTCAGTTGACTTCATGGCTTATTTTCATCTACCTGATCCCTTCTAAACTATACTATAGGTGTTAATGACCCTCTCTTCTTTTTAATGGCTATGATGGTCCACCAACCAAGCTATCCTTTGTTCTGCAGTTCTGCTGTCTGTTAGCTGCTCCTGGTAACAAGCTCCTATTTCACAGCCCCGCAGCCTATTTTAATGTATTCCAAAGAAGTTATATTTGTTTTCACTTCAATCTTAAATGGAATAATGCAGCTCTAGGTCCCTGGTGTATTAGTAAAACTTCTAGTTTATTTTTAACTGGGAAAAATGTGTGTTGGTTTATATGTCATGATGCATCTCACCATTGGAACCCCCAATTTCAAAATTCTACATCTATCCATGTACCCTCAGGAAAAAAGGCAGAACAAAACCCCACATTGTTTTTTAAATAAAAGAAGCAATAACATTATCATTTTGATTGACAAGCAATTTTATGATTGTTCAAGAGATTCCAGTATGTTTCCAGTGAACTGATCTAATTTCAAATGAGGATTTAATTACAAATAATTCATTAACAGTAGCATTGATGACTATTATGCATTCTAGGAGTCAGTAATAATCAATTGCATATTACAGTATTACCTGAGATTGCTTGCAGGTTAAGTTAATATTGTAAGTTAATATTTTTGGCTAGCAAGTGGCTGCTGAATGGATTTCTGAATCTCAAGTGAATTTACACATTAAGAGAACTTCTTATCTCTAAGGATCCCCTCCTGCTTCAAAATTATTGACTAATTTTTTTATCTTATGCCTGGGCACAGAGGTGCTAGTGAGAAAGAGAAAATATGGAGATGTTCAATGATGCTGTGTTCCATAGGGGCTGTCCTTGTTTTATTGAACAGAGTATTTTGAGATGCCTGAGGTTTGAGGCAGAGCCAACAAATCTGAGACAATGCATGCCCATCAGTGTTTTTCCTACCTGGAACTAGAGCCTAGGGACTTACCATAGCCATAAGGCTGAAGTAGCAGTTAAGTAGGTAGATCTGGTTTCAAATTGGGAAGATTTTTTTTCTCAAATCCTACAGTGAAAGTCATATTTAAGCTTTTCATTGAGGTCATAATTGTCCCTTTAAACACCCAGTAGAATCAAACTATGGGCTGGTATTCAGGCTCGGTAGAGACATTCAAGAAGCCTGAGGTGGAACCCATCTAAGGAAGTTTTCTGTAGGTGGTTTATTTTATGTTGGTACTGAACAGAACACACATTCATACTTTGATGGGGGGGGTGAAGAGGGGTGCAAATCTTAGACTGCATTACGCCATTTTTAAACCAGTCTGTGTGCATTGAACTTCTGTTCTTTTACAAGTATAGACCAGTTTTGTGTGCTGAACTTCTGTTCTGTTATGGGTATAGACCAGTTTCTGATCACTTATACTGGTAAAAGTGTAATGTCTGTATCTGGCCCCAGAACCTAATGAGCAACCAACACGCGGATGTGATTAAGAAACAGCAATTTTTAGGGGCTGGTTTTCAGCTGAAATTCAACTTGTTATCCTAGCTGGTCACAAACAAGCCATGCTACCAATTAGGTTTGCAGTGATTGTGGGAAAACAGAAATATTCTTAGTGAATATCAGTTGCATTCTTAGTGAAAGTCAGTGGTTTTATTGACTTTAAGACTATTGCTTAAATTGACTGGCTGAATGGAATTTGATGCTTTATTTGTTTGTTTACTGTGAATTTAGTACTCATATTTTTAGACAGCAGAATCTAAAGAGTGAATTATTTTTCTTTCATAGTAATATGTGGTAAAAATAATAATAATGCATGATGTGACATTCACCATACTAGACACATCACCTTTTTAATGGGCCAGAATGGAAATTCGGAAGACACGTCCACATGGCTAGAGAAAACCTCTGTGAAAGCACCCTAGGCCTAATCACTCCTGATCTATGTACAGAACATGTCAAGAAATGTCACATAATCACCTCTAGAATCTCACTGAGCATGCTGTGGCTCTGTGCCAAAAAGCAATGACATGACTTTCTTTCAGTATGTGGTGTATCTAGAGCGTGAATGAGTGAGGATAGTGCACTTTCATGGTGGCTTTCCCTGTCACAGACTGAGGAGATGGAGACATGTCCCAAGTTTCCATACCTAGGTGTGAGAGTGTATTTTAATTTTTATACTGGGTACATCTACATGAGATACTTTACTGCAGAGATGACTAATTAGCTTTGTAGTAAAGCATTGCCATCTACACATGCTCTCCTACAAGGCTAGAGCAAACTAATTAACTCTGCCATAAGCTAGTACAGCCTGACGCAAAGACTATCCTACAGTGGAGTTATTTACTTCACCACAATTCACATATAGACAGTGATTGGGGCTGGCTGAGGCACAAGGGTGCTACAGTATTGGATTGCCTGACAGCTAGCTCCACAATGTAGCACCCTTATGCCCTAGCCAGCCCCTCTGCAGCACGTTGAGCTGGGGTGGAGCAGCTCCAGGCTGGCAGGCTGACCCCCTGAACCCTCTGCCAGCTGGGGCTGTGCTGCCCCAGCTCAATGTGCTGCATTACTAGGTGCACATGCAAATGCTGTTCCTAGGAGCAATATACTCCAATATGAACTGCATTGGAGTTTATTGCATTGTGCATTAATATCACATGTATGCATTCACTGAGGTCCAATCTACATTAAAAAACTCCAAAACACCAACCCAAACCAAAATCCAGTAATATAATCACATTGATACAATTACACCTGGGTGAATTTCTGTTATGGACCAGTCTTTGAGTCTGTCACCAAGTAAGCCAGCTAGTACCAGTTGTAATATCAACCTCTGAATATGAACACAGGACATCTGGGAAATGGATTTAAAATAGTAACTGTTTTTACACAAAATCACTGGATTACCATCTGATGCTAATGACTTCATTACTGATTCTTTTGACTGAATTTAACCAAAGAACAAGTATAAAATGTTCCATTTCCATAGGTGCACAGGTGGGAAGCCGCTTGAGTCTGAAGTCAGGCAGAAGGCAGGGTAGGGTGGCAGCTTAGCACTGACTGGTTTGGAGAGGCATGAGGTTTCATAAGCAACAGTCTACTTCATCAGATGTAAGAATGGGCTGGCAGAAAGAGAAGATGCACATAGAAAGAAAAAGTATGAGGGAACAGTTGACTTCTGAAAGAGGTGCTTGGGGTGGGGAGGGATTGATTAGATCAGTTAAGATGAACAGAGCAGTTAATGCCTAAAAGGACCCCAAAGTAAAGTAGGTAGTTGCCTAAGAAAGCTCATGCCTCCCTGAACCAGTTAGTCTCTAAGATCTCTGCCTTATCTTCTGGTGCCATAGGTGGTAGCATCAAGAGGGTAAGGTGGGCCTTCCCTGACCATGGAATCAGAGCTGGAAGGTACCTTAAAGGCACATCTACACGTGATGCTACATTGCCTTTGCAACATACTATGGCGACATAGCATCCATGGAGGTCTACACGTGACCAGCAACTACTTCACTGTAGTGGCATGCTTCCCCAATATAATGTGATGCTATGGCAAGTATCTGCTAAAAATAACCATGTGTTGCATGTATGGTGCAGTAAAGGTGGTTACTGTGTTGTGCTTTAGTACTTCCAAAAATAAGTATTAAAGCACAGTGCAGTAACAACGTCACAGTAGGGTAATGTGTAGATGTGCCCTAAGAGTTCATCTTGTCTGAACTGAGGCAAGATCAAGTACACCTAGATCAACCCTGAGATATGTTTGTCTTACCTGACTCTCCCCTGACTTGCACCTTGTTTGGTGACTTGTCTTTTTGCACAGCTGCCCCTTAGGACTCCTGTTCTGAGTCAGGCTGGGGACCAAATGGCTAAGCAGCAAGTCTTCAGAAAAAGACCTGGGGGTTGCAGTGGACAATAAGAAGAATTCGAGCCAACAGTGTGCTCTTGTTGCCAAGAAGGCTAATGGCATACTGGGCTGCATTGGTAGGAGTGTTTCCAGCAGTTCAAAGGAAGTGATTATTCCTCTCTATTCAGCACTGGTGAGGCCAGATCTGGAGTACTGTGTCCAGTTTTGGGACCCTCACTACAGAAAGGATATGGACAAATTGGAGAGAGTCCAGCAGAGGGCAATGAAAATGGTGAGCGGGGCTGGGGCACATGACTCCTGAGGAGAGACTGAGGGAACTGGGCTTATTTAGTTTAGAGAAGAGAAAACTGAGAGGGGATTTAATAGCAGCCTTCAACTACTTGAAGGGGGTTCCAAAGAGGATGGAGCTAGACTGTTCTCAGTGGTGGCCAGATGGCAGAAAAAGTAGCAATGGTTTTAAGTTGCAGCAAGGGAAGTTTAGGTTTGATATTAGTAAAAAAAATTTCTCTCTAGGAGGGTAGTAAAGCACTGGGATAGGTTACCTAGACAGGTTGTGGAAGCTCCATTTCTGGAAGTTTTTAAGACCTGGCTAGACAAAGCCTTGGCTGGGATGATGGTCCTGCTTTGATCAGGGGGTTGGACTAGATGAGTTCCTGAGGTCCCTTCCAGCCCTCATTTTTGATGATTCTATGATTTTTGAGTATGTCAACTCCTCCTTGTGCTGGATGAATGGCTACATGAGGGAGGGGAGAGACTTAGCCTCTGGCAAATGGAGTTCCAGCGGGAGAATGCAAACCTTTAGAATTCATAGGACAAATACCTTCTTCTTCCCTTCCAGAGGCAAGGTGCTGGAGCAACAAATGAAAAAGACAAGACATCTGGTGAGAATGGTAAGATTAGATTTTTATTTCACTTTGGAAAATAGCACACAAGTTGTTTCCCTGTATCAAAATACTTTTACAGGGTTTTTTTGTGCCACTTGAGTGTAAATGGAGCTGGATGGAAATGGGATTTTTTTTCCGATCAAAAGTTTTGCTTTTACATCAACTTTCCTTCTCCCTTCCACCTCTAGACTGAGTGTTTTAGGCATAGATTTTTCAATTGTTAGACAAAGAGTTATCAATGAAGCAGCAACTTTTTCTGTGCAGAAAAAGAAAATATTTTTAAAAAATAAAAAATTGTTTAGTCAGAATCCAACTATCCAGCAAAAAGTAGTTTCAATGGAACATTTTTTACAAGACCTGGCTATAACAGAGCTGACAATTGAGGCCACTGCCAGCTTGCAGTTATTCATGAACAAGGAAAGGGCTAAATTCAGAGGGAAAAAATGGCCCGTTTCCAGTTGCTTGCCCAGTTCTAATTGAAAGAGACTGTTCTGTATGGTCTTACTGAAAGCAGAAAAAATGAAAAAAAATCATGAGCACGTCTGTTATAGAAGTTCAACCCATTTATTTTCATAGCTGAGAGGTACAGAGAATTCATAAAAGGGTTGTCTTTTGGTCTCAGCTTTTGGGTGTTATTTTGAACAAAACCTCTGCCCATGAGGTAAGATTCAACTCTTTTTCTGTTTTATCTTCTAATTCAGGATAGGTGACTCTTCCCTCACTGCTGTTTTACTTAATGTTATAGTGAAATGAAATCAGTCCCTGCTATGTGCAATAGGCTAAAAAACCCCACAAATTAAGAAAGTAACCCACTACATTTTGCTAGTTTTAACATCTTGATTCATTAAGCATGGAATTGCACTGACAGCAAAGTCATTTATTTCTTCAATTTAAGTAAAAAGAAGACAGAGAAAATATTTTGGTTATTGTTAGAGTGATTGGAAAAAGTTTTCTTTTGATTGTTTCACTGCACTCTGAGTTAATTTTCTTTGTGCTTCAGCTTGAAAAAAAAAATTCCTATTGTCAGAGTGAAGACAGACTCTTAGACCCAAATCCTGCAGCCTTTGTGCTGCAAATTTCCCTCAGCTCTCAGTGGCAATTTTGTCTAAAAACTGAAGTTTATTCCGAAGAAAATAAGTTCTGTAGTCAAATGAGACATATGGTTTTATGTGTGATACTGATAATACATTATGTACAATATAGGCAAATTGGATGCCAGTTTCATATTTTAGTATAATGTAACAGTGAAGAGAAGTGGCATATATCTAAAAAAAAATGCAAAAGCTTCAGGAGAGGTGAAAGGAAAATATCTATTGTGCCTTCCTGGACCTATATACCTGCAGGCTCACTCCTGTCCTCCATGTGGAATTCAGTTTTAAACAAAATTTGGCAGAGGAGATCTGTACATATGTGTGTGTGTATGTATACACACACACACACACACACACATGAATGACGGAGTGTTTCGGGGAGTGTTTCCATGCCCCATCCTCCATCCCGCCCACCCTTCAGGGCTGGCCATGTAAACAGTCCCGCTGCTGCCACCGCCTCCTTTTCCAGCCTCTGGGACAGCGGCTCCCTCTCCCCTGCCTGCCTCTGCCTCCCGCTGCAGAGTAGTGGGCCTTCACCCCACCTGAAGAGGTGGTGATGGCTTCCTTCCTCCCCC